TGCCTTTGTTGATTAATTGCTGCCAAGTGGCCCCTATTACCACAGGGTCCAATCAGCCCCATAGTAGTTAAGTGTTTTAGTTCAATTAGGGCAGTTCCCACTGTCAAATCAGGTTTACATGAAATAGCAATCACAGCAGTCTTCAAGGATGGTGGAGCTCCCCTCACAAATTTATTCCTCAGGGTACTGGTGAAAGGCGTGTCTTCTGGACTCTCCATTTCTGGCTCTAGGGGCCTGATCTCATTAATCCATTCTAACAGGCCAATTTCCCTAAGCCTCTGGATTCCTTCCTTTACTTAAACCATGGCAGGTTTGGCACTTCAGCTTGACTTAAGGTAGGCCACTGCATAATCCATGCCTCAGTAAGCCAACCAAATAAACTATCAGATCCTTTCCTAACCTCTCGAGCTGAGACATGGAATGAAGAATCCATACTTAGTGGGCGTAAATCAATAAACTCAGACTGATCCAATCTTACATTCTTTGCACCATTATCCCACACCCTCATTAGCCATTCCCATACATATTCTCCAGGTTTCTGTCTGTACATGTTAGCAAAATCAACTAGGTCCTTTCGGGTATAGTGTATCACCTCCTCAGTCACACTTTCTATTTCCCCTCGGCTCACTTGGGCTTGACTTTAGTTATGGATCTCGTAGCAACAATCGGTGCTTGAGGCAGTTCCTGAGAGCATTCAGGAATGTCTTCCATGGTCTCTGCCTCAAACAGTGACCCAGCCGGAAGAGCCGAGTTAATCCCATCAAACTGAGGGTGAGGGGTGATGGTTTTACAGTAATCCATTCAGATGGGAGGGATTCAACAGAATTTACAGGCTCTATATCCTGATCTTCCTGATTATCTATCCATATGTCCCCATTCCAGGTTTCAGGATCCCATTTTTTTCCAATCAATGCCCTCACTTTAATGCCAGACACCATTCTGAATTGGCAATTTAGCTGGCGTTGTAATTCAGCCACCCTTACAATAAGACTCTGAGTTTGGTTTTCAGCAATATCAGCTGTTACTAGAAGATATAAGGCTTTCATTCAGAGCACAGCTGGGAGCACTGAGGTCTTTTATGTGGCACTTAAGCCGAAACTCAGCAGCTTTGAGCTCATCTCACTCTTTCACCAGTTAGTCCAGTGTAAGTAGGACCAACCAACCAGCTTCCTTATACTCCTCATTCTGACAGAATTGCAGAAAAATATCAAATATCCGATCACCCAGAGCATCACTTCTCAAAAGTACTTGATCTATTGGTGGTGCTATTTCATGTATTAATTTTGCCACCTCACACCACGGATTAGTAGGGCCCTCTTTACTAGCAGACGTAGAGTCGCTAGTGTCACTAAAATTAATCAAACTGGAGAACCAATCTAGAAAGCCCATCCTTATGATTTTGTCTCTCTAGAACCACTCCCGGTACCAAATGTGTTAGACTGGGTTCTCTAGAGAAACAAAAACCAGCAAAGATTAGAGAGAGACAGAAAAAAAAAAAATTATCTTAGGAAAATAGCTCACAAATGTATAGAAGCCGGCAAGTCCAAAGTCCCTAGGGCAAACGTCAGGCTGGAGGCTTTTCTTAGCTTCTGCAACCGCAGGTGCCGAAAAGCTCAAGGCTGGCAGGCAGTACACCAACTGTTGACTCCAATGAATGACGAATCCAAGATCTCCAGGCCAAACGATGGACTGCTCACTCACAGACAGTTGTAGGCAACACAACGGAATCTCATCCACAGAAGAATGTGTCTCTACCCAGGATGTCCCTGGGTATCCTTCCTGGAAGCAGGCCACACCCCTAGGGAAACTCCTCCTGAACAGATTGGCCACTCAGAACACAGTCATCCGATCTGATCATGGGAACAACCACACAGAACTGGGGTCCAGCCAAGTTGACACACAGCTCCAACTATCACAGCAAGCACAGTTCTGTTATCTTCATATTCTCAGGTTGTTTATTAGTCTTCCTTCAATCCTTATGGCACATTGTTCTTCATATAGTCCATTTTCTTATTTGCTTAGCATACTGATTGAGTTGTTGTTGTTGTTGTTATTTGCCGTCGAGTCGGCCCCGATTCATAGCGACCCCTCCTTGGGTTTCCGAGGCAGTATCACTATGGAAGTAAGTATGGTGAAAGGCTACAACTCTGACACACTCTTTTTCTTATTTTAAAACATGCAGTATCGTCTTGTTGTGTCTGATTTGAATCTTGATCTATGTAGAGATTCTGTGTGATACCAATGAATTGTTCCAGAATTTCCATGCTTTGCAATGTTATCCATAATTTGCTGTGATCCACACAGTCAAATGCCTCTGCATAGTCCAATGAAACACAGGTAATCATCTTTCTGGTATTATCTGCTTTTAGCCAGTATCCATTGACATCACCAGTGATATTCCTTATTCCACGTAGTGCCTAAGGCATCTGACTGCTAACCAGAAGACTGGCTGTTCAAAACCACCAGTCACTTCTCAGAAGGAAGGTTGGGCAATCTACTTCAGTAGTGATGTCGCCTCAGAAACCGAAGGAGGGATCGCTATGAGTCGGATCTGACTCCATGGCAGTGCGTTTGGTTTTTTTTTTTTTTTTTTCTTGGTTTCTTCTGAGTCCAACTTGAATTGCTGGCAATTCCTTGTTGATATATAGCTGCAGCCATTTTTGAATTTTCTTCAGCAAAATTTGCTTGCATGTGATATTATGGCCAAAAATATTCCAACAGTTTTTGCTTTTTAACTAATATTTTAGTTGTTCTGTTATTGTTGTTTTTAGATATTTTTCTATTCTTAGATAATCTTTTTGAGTCAATGCTTTTATATGAGTTTCCTAACTTTGTTATTATATCTTATTTGTGGCTGATTTTTATCGTCAAAACTCATGAATATTCTTTGGTCTTTAAACAGGATTTTTTTGGGGAGGGGTCACAATAAATCAACTAGATCTGTCTTACTTATTGGCTCTTTTATACTTATGTCCACTAGATCTTTTGTGGACTGAAAGAAGTGAATTAAAATATCATAATTCGGTGTCTCTGTCTGTATCTCCTTTATTTCTTATAATTTTTGCTTTATAAGTATCTATGTCTAAGTTTGTCTTTTTTAAAAATTATTTTGCCCTTCATTTGAAATTCTATAAATTACAATCTTGATCTCTGCTTCATTTGGATTGCATTTTTATGATATGCCTTTGCTTTTTCTAAGATTTCTGAGTCACTTTATCTCCTGTAATAAAGCATATTTTCTCCATATGTGTGTAATCCTATCTTTTTCTTATAATAGTTACTTTAGCCAATTAGCATTTCTTTTAAAGACAAACATGTTTGGTTTTTGCCTGCTCATCATGTTTAATAATCTTTCTGTATTTATTGTTTCCTTTGTATTTCACTTCATAATGTGTTTTGTATGTGTTTCTGCAGATTATTTAGAAGGTTTGTATTTTTTTTCCAGGGGTTATCTTTAGAAACATAAGGAGTATACTTAATTTCTAATGTAATTTTCATTAATTCTGTATCATGTTTACAATTTTCAGTGTTAACATTTATATTGTTTTATAACCATACTCCCCACATTCCATTTAATCTCAGTCCCTCTATTAACTACATTGAATGCTCACCATTAGTCTTTTTGTCAAGCTTTGCTGTTCTTGTTGTTGTGTGCCATAGAGTCATTTCTAAATCAGAGCAATGCTATAGGGCAGAGCATATTTGCCCTATTGGGTTTCCTAGGTTGTAGTCTTTATGGGTGCAAATTGACACATGTTTTTCTCTATTGAAATGGCTAGTAACAACCTTTTTGTTACCAGCCAAACGCTTAACCACTGTGCCACCAGGGATCCTATACCAAAGTTTACTAATTTTCTTTGTTGAAGTTCATCCTCTTAATTTAGAAGTTTCTGCGATACTGGGTTCTTGAATTTTCAAAATTGTTTATTATTTATTTTGACACTTGAATGACAGATTAACCGGATATAAAATTCTTAGGTCCCACTTATTTCCTTGAGCATTTGATAGGCATTACTCCTCTGTCTTCTAGGATAGAATGTTGCTCTGGAGATGTCTAAGGCCAGCTTGGTTTGTCCAAATATGTTTTTGCCTGCATATCCAAAGGATTCTTTGATGTTCAGTAGTTTTACTGGGGTGAGTGTGTGTGTGTGTGTGCGTGCATGCATGTATGTATGTGTTTGTTCATATCAGTGTTGATTGAGTGGAAATGGGAAAATGCTACCAATTCAACTGTAACATTTTATTTCTTTAAAAAAGAAAAAGATATGAAGCCAATATGCCAGAATGTTAACATGAATTAAATATAATTGGTGAGTACAAAGAAGTTCTCTATGTTTCAGGGGAGGTTTGAAATATTATATATATATATATATATATATATATATATATATACTTTTTAAAGGGGCCATTTAACTGTAGGTCAGGGAATACCTATATAGGTTCAGGGATTCACTCCAAAATATAATTCATTGAAAATCACAAATTTTGCCTTATTGGTAACAATGTAGATTCTTGTTTTTCTTATATGTTGATAACCATTCATGTAATTCCTATTTTTTTTTTTCCCTTTCGTGTTCATTTCCTATGTTTTGGGTAAAAATATTTTATATTCTCAAACCATACGATTGCAAATTATAAAATTCTAATTTTGGAACATGCAGAATGTAAGTTCCTGGTAATTGCTTCAAAGCTAAATGCGATTTTTCACTATAATTTATTAGGTGATTTATATTTGTTCCATTGGGACTATTTTGAACCAATTATTGCTGTAAACATACAGAATATAAGTTAGGAATGAAACACCATAATAACTGAAAGAGCTAAGTATTTAGCACTTTTCCCCTCACACACTTTTTGTTTATTAAAATAAATAAAGCACTCTCGTAAGTACAAGTCATAATAAAAGGGAAATAAATCACCTCCATTTTCTTATTTTTATTCATTTTTAGTTTTTTTAGTACTAAGGGATTTTTTTACATTTGCTTTTCCTCTATGTTCAGGTATATGTCTCGAGTCCACGGTATGCATCCAAAAGAGACCACCCGTCAGCTGAGCTTAGCTGTGAAAGATGGTCTTATTGTTGAAACTCTAACAGTGGGCTGCAAAGGTTCAAAAGCTGGTATTGAACAAGAAGGATATTGGTTGCCAGGAGATGAGATTGTAAGTATATTTAATTTGATATTTGGAGATGCTAACTTTCAGTTTTTGAATATTATTTAGATATAATCTGTAGACATTTGTGTTCAGATGTTTAGTAATATTGCACTTTTACTGATTTAGTAATATTTCAATTTTTTAGTAAACATTAAAGATTTACATTGGTAGATTAGGTAGTTTCCTCACTGATTCTTTAGGAGATAACTCAGTTTAACAGGAGCCTTCTTTTTCTGTCTCTTACACCAAATCCAAAAAGTAAGGCAAAACAAACAAAAACTCTTTGCACCCTATTGCAGTTAATGGTATTACTGCATATTTCTTCAATAAATTTTAGTAAAAAATGTTTCAACACAAGAGTATCTCGGTATCTTCTGGACAGACTAAAAGGTATAAACTCTCTTCTTAGGGAAAAATCTCATTTTAGCTTGGAGTTATGTCAGAACCTAGAGGCAAGTTTAAATTGGAATTTTGTTGCCCAGTATACAGATTTAAAATGTTAGACTCCCCAGGCCAGTATCTTAGTGGACTAGTGACTACAGTAATGTTTTTTGAAAGTAGTACCAAAATCAAGTAGTAAAGACAAGAAGTTAATTCTCTTTCTATTTCTACCAATTCTTACTTTGACTCCTCTTTTAAATTAAAATGTTTTCATTTTCTTTCAGTACAGGTAGCCCTGGGTTTTGAACTACTGACTTAAGGAAAACCCCTACTTGCCCTTAAACGTTACGTAAATTTGCCCTCACTTTGACAGGACTGAACCAACCCCTCCAAAAAAATAATCAAACCCATGGCCATCAAGTTGGTTCTGACTCATAGCCACCCTATAGAACAAAGTAGAACTGCCTGATAGTGTTTCCAAAGCTGTAAATCTTTACAGAAGTCAGCTGCCTCATCTTTCTTCCATGGGGCAGCTGGGGGTTCAAATTGCTGACTGTTTGGTTATTAGCCAAATGCTTTAACTACTGAGCCACCAGAGCTCCTAACCAACCCCTACTCGTTAACAAATTCTTCATCACAATCACCTTCACTTGCTGTATGTGCAGCTTTTAAATCACTGAAAAGGCTGGAGTTTTTTCTTGCATTAAAGTAAGGATAAGTAAGAATCTTGTGACCTGTTGTCACTCACCTACAAATCCACTTAAAGACTTAAAGTTAGGAATGGATCCCTAACTCAGAGACTCCCTGTTTATAATTTTATACTCGGGGGCACAAATAGAGGTGCATTTTTCTTATACAAAGATTGTTTCATGTGTATATTTCTGTCTTTCTACTTTAGTTGCTTTTGATATTTCTGATATCTCAATCATTATGTATTAATTTTTGCGAAGGAACACCATTTAAGGTGGTAAGATTCAAATATAATAGATGTTATTTAGTTAATTTTTAAAAAGGAATGGATTTAGTAATTAGTATTTTGGGAGTGTTTTATCATGAGTTCTCTGAAATCTAAAATTTTAGATTTTAATGATTTAAAAATCTTCAAGTTGCTTTTTTTGTAGAAGAATTTTCTAAAAACTTGGCACTGTATTTCCTTTTCTGGTTCTACAGATGTTAAGTCAGCAAACACATGCTACTATATCCTTACCAGGCCTGAGATCAGTAAACTGACACATTTTACAGTGGTGAGCTGGTTCATAGAAGTAGCTATCTTAAGTTATAAAATTAGAAAAGTTGCTCATTTTAAACACTGTTTTTGCCAGTTTATACTGTGCCTTCACAGCTTCAGGGGGAAAAAATTATGTTTTCCACAAACAGAAAACATGAAAGAAAAAAATATTTAATTTTCCTGTTATCATTTAGTTTGTGCAATAGAAATGTTCTTGAAATGTTAAGTGAAAATGTTACCAGAATAGTTTTTCTGGTGACTTTGCTTAGAGAAAAGTGAAGCTTTGTTGTCAATGAAGAAACTTTTGGTCCAAGACATAATAAAAACAATGTAAAGTGATGTATATGTGTCTGTTATCAAACATTTTAAGAAATGGCCACTGAATAATTGACACTTTATTATATATTCAAAATAATTCTAAGGGTAATAATCCAGATAATATTAAATTTCTAATCGTGAAGCACTCAGAAACTTACAGATTTAGTATAGAAGGCAATACTGATAATTTCTGAGATTTATCTGGGAATTAAACAATAAGTGCACCTTAATTTAATCCACATGATTTTGTTTGTGGATCATGTCAACATTTTTTCATAAAAGTCATTCATAGTTGACTTGTCAATATGATTTATTATCCATCATCTTTTCATCTCATTGACATGTATGCCTTTGTCCTTCCACTTCTCTGTGATTTTATTTATCCTTACTTATTAGATTACTGCTTTTCCATATGCTTTCTTCCTCCTTAAATCGGAGTTTCTTTGTTCAGTTTAATTCAGCAGTTAATAAACTTAATATATGGTTGTTCTTGTTACCTAGTGCCACTCTGACAAGAATATACCGCAAATGGGATGGTCTTAACAAACAGGAGTTTATTCTCTTACAGTTTGGAGGATTTAAGTCCAAGTTCAAAGTACCATGCTTTAGGGGCTGGGTGAAAGCCCTTCAACCTTGGGGTATAGCTCTGCCTCCTGCTCACAGCCCATTGGAGCTAGAGGCGTTTCTTCACCCAGACAGCTGCTGGCTGCTGAGGCTGAGAAGCCCCAAGATTGACAAGTAAAAAGACACAGTCCTGATGTTACCAAACCACGTGGCAGGCCATTAACTCAAGTCCATTGTAAGACCCAAGGTCAGCAGAGCATGACAGGCTGCTGAGCAACAATACGGCTACATGCAGGGTCCAAGCATGCCATAGGCTAGAGACCATTCCCAAGGCTTCTCCTTAAATACAGGAAGCAGACCACATCCCAAAGGCAGCTACTCAGCTGCTTGTGGTAGATCCCACCATGGAGCTGATTGCCAGTCTCATCATGGGGAATAACTACCACCAGCTGCCCAGCCACTCAACCAGGTTCAGCCAAGTTGACACACAAACATAACTACCACAGTGGTCATCACTATATTAGGTTCTATATTGTTTTTTGTTTTTTTTTTTGTATTTTCACATGTTCTTTGTGCCTATATTTATAGCATCAACCATTTCTTCTTATTGTCTCTTTTTTTTTTTTTTAAGGTGAAATCTATGTAGATTAAATAGCCAGTATAAAGGTTATTATTTCTGGTTGGTTCTTATTCACACATATTTTCACACTAACTATACATATGTAATATAAGCACAATTGGGCATAACAAATTGTGCCTGGTTTATAAAATATATAAATATCTAAAATTGAGGCAATGTAATATAATAAAAAGAGATAAAGTCTTGCATGTTCCTACAGACAGGGGTTCCAATCCCATCTCAGGCATTTATTTAGTTGAGTGACCTTGAGGAAATTTCTTAACCTCTCTGATCCTGGGCTGTAATATGGAGACAATAATAGCTAATCATTAGATTAGTTTAAAGATTAATAGAAATTATCTATCTAAAGTATGTAACTATATACTCAAAGCAAGTTTGTGACCAGTGAGGAAATATGCTGGAACCAAGAAACTCTTGTCTACAGTATAACAAACTCCTATCTATAGTATAGTGTTACTAACCACATAACCAAAACTTCTCATCAGGGCCTTTTTACTTTTCAGCCTTAATACTCAAATACAAGGAAGTTTGTAAAGAGATTTTCCTTTAAGACATTGGATCTTTTAAGGTATAACTATAAAATCATATAAAACCCTGGATGCTATAGCCACAAGGCTGCCCAGGAACTGTATATATGCTGTAATTTATGCCCTAACAGTATTCTATAAGGATATATAATTGAACATATGTTATCCTTGGTCATAACACAGCATCCTACAGCTAGTCAGCTTCATGTATGTGTATTAACTCCATGGTTTGTCCAGGTGGTTGTGTCAATTGTGAACTGCACAACTTAGGAAGTACCATTCACGTCTTGTTTGTGTGCCATCGAGTCAATTTTGACTCATAGTAACCCCATGTGACAGATGAGAACTGCCCTAGTGTGTCCTCTTTACTAGTGATCATTATGGGAACAGATCACCAGGTCTTTCTCCTGTGGAGCTGCTGAGCGGGTTCAAACTGCCTACCTTTAGGTTAGCTGAGCACTTAACCACTGTGCCACCAGGCTCTTTCATTCACATCATAGACATTGTAAGATCATATATTTACTCAACAGTTCTCTAGCATAATAGCAGTAAAGTGTCTTATTCTAACAAAATCAGTATATAACAAGAATGTCTTACAACAGGGGTACCTTTTCTAATTTGCACAAGTGCATTCTATGGGCTGTGACAGTCCTACATGCTACCATTTGAATCTGGAGCTCCATCCCTTATATATTACAAGTTTTACCACCTTGTATATGGTATGAATCACTTTGATGCCTCTAAAAATTAAGTTATTAAATTGAATGATTCATGTTATTACATATCTTGTTTACTTTCTGATTCATTATCGAGAGAGACAAGTCGAGTAGATCTCTATGGCCTCAGGAAGGAAAAGCATAGAGGAATTTTGGTTATTTGTTTTTAAACCTTTAAGTCAAAGTTACAAGTATTCTTTACTCAGACAATTCTGTCATTTTAGAAATAGGTAGTAAAACACTTTCTCTTCAACAAAAAACAAATTCACTGCCATTGAGTCGGATCCCACTCATAGCGACTGCCCCTTGGGTTTCCAAGGCAGTATTACTACGGAAGTAGATTGCCCAGTCTTCCTTCCAAGGAGTGGCTGGTGGGTTTGAACCGCCAGCCTTCTGGTTAGCAGTTAAATGCCTCAGGCACTACACTACCAGAGCTCCCCTTTTTCTTCTGTAGCTTCTACAAATAGTAGTTGTGGTCTCAGAAGTAGGGGGAAAACCTTTATTTATTTCTATTAAGTCTCAGAAGTTAGCACCTCTGACATACTTTGTATTGGTAAAGAGACTGGATTCTACTGATCTTCATTTCCAAAATTATAAATCTAAAGTACACAAGAGAATAGTTTTCTTTATAC